TGTGTGGCCTTTTATGATTGAATACTATTGTGTGTGCGTGTGTGTGCATACTTCCCTTATCCGCTTGTGTGATACTGAATATCTAGTCGTAGCCATGCCTAGCCACGGTGAGTAGTTGCAGCAAACATGGGCACACACATGTCCCTTTATACAATGGCTTCATTTCCTTTGGATATGCTCCTGGAAGCGTGACAGCTGGGCAAAGTGGTACTTCTACTTCCAGTGTCTTGAAGAACCTCTATACTGTACTCCTAAGTGACTGTATTAGTTTACATTTCTACCAGTTGTTTTGTTTACAAGCCAACCCAGGGTCTTCCCTATAATTCTGCTGTCTGGGGCATGCTGAAGGCTCCGCACAACATTCTACACAACCATCAGGCTGAAACCTTGCTGTTCAGGGTCGGAAGGTCTAGGGGTGAGGAGTTGTCTGCTAGAGTCATTTGAGATTATAGGTAGGAGCCATCACCCTCAAACTCCCTGATTTCAAAAAGTATTTTCTCCAGGCACAGTGATGCACCGCTTTAATCCCAGCACTTAGAGGCAGAGATAGGCTGATCTCTGTGAATTTGAAATCAGCCTGGTCTACACAGTGAGTTTCATCCCAGCCAGAGCTAGAGAGAGAGAGACCCTGTCTCAAAAAAAAAATTATCTCATGTTTATATCCCTTTAAAATGTCATGTCATTTTGCATGTCTGTGTGCTATATCCAAAATCATGTCAAATCTCTTTTGATGTGATCTGTTTTTCCCCCGTGACAACACCAGAGTCTGATTCCTGGATGTCATCAGCCGTGGTCTTCCATTTTCAGCGCTGTATAACATTCCATTGTTGGGGGCATGGCACTGTCTGCTGTAGACAGTGCTGCAGAAAGTACTGCTACCACCACTTCTGCAGTCCTTCCCAGAGACATGGTTTTTATAAAGTATTTATACTTTATAAAGTTTTTATAAAGTATAGCCCAGAGAGGAGTATGTATGTAGCCCAGTGGGCAGTGAGCATCTAGCCCAGAAGAGAGTTGAGAATATAGCCCAGTGGGGAGTGGCCTCACCATCAGGCCACTGTTAATCAGCTTGACTCTGAAGACCAGATTATTCTATGTGGCAACACTAAACAGGCCTTGTCCTGCAAACCCATCAGGTGGTGGGAATGACAGGCAAGGCATCTGTTCACTATAGACCACAATACAAAGGCAGAGACAGAAAGACAGCCCAGCTTTAGGCACAGAGTGGAGAAGAAAGGGCCCTGGTCAATCTTCCAGTTTGGTCTTAAACTCAACAACCAGGTAAACAGACACTGGGGCTGTGCACAGCCTCCCTGCTGTAATTCCTCCATGAAGTCACAGACTGCTGCCACCTTCAGTCTCATTTACAGCCCAGGAAAACTGTGGCTTGTATTAGCTATTTTCCTGTTGCTGTGATAAAACACCATGACCAAGGCAACTTACAGAAGAAACAGTTTATTTGGGGCTTATGGTTTCGGAGGACTAGAGTCCATGATGGAAGAACAGAGGTAGCGGGCAGAGATGGCAGGCAGCTGGAGGCTGCAACAGCAGTTGAGAACTCACATATACAATCAAAAATGGAAATCGGAGTTACCTGACTCAAAACAGCAGGAAACTTGAAAGCTTGCCCCCGTGAAATGCCTCTGCCAGGAAGGCCACACCTCCCAATCCTCCACAAACAGTTCCATCAACCGTGAACCAAGAATTCAAATGTCACTGGGCATTGCATCCAAACCACTACAGAGAGGTTACACACTTTGTTAACCCCTAGAGTCTGGATTCCAGTTTAGTTTCTGAGACTGCAAAGTTAGCCATGCTCCTGCCTCAAACCATGAGGTCGCACATTAGAATTAGGTTTCTGAATCTTGACAAAGGAAAAAAAAATTTAAGACATGATCTTACTATGTAGCTGAGGCCAGCCTGGAATGCGTATGTAATTCAGGCTGATCTTAAACTTGCAAGCTTCCTGCTTCCATTTTCAAGTGCTGATATTACAGGTAGGTAGGACCTAGCGCAGCCATTTCTTTTACATTCATCCATGGACGAGGCTATGCAGCCTCTTCTGTATCTTGGTTTCTTTCTCGGTAAAATGATTCTGTATTTAACACTTAATTTATGGGGGCATCAGACAAAACTCTAGAGAGTGGGGATATAAAGCAAAGAAAGAAGTCCCTTCACACCCCCCTATCCTCAGAGAGCTGCCACACTTTGTGGTTGAGGAGGGGAGCTGAACAGCAATGCTAACTCTAGGAGGCAGAAACATTTCCAGTGCTTTGAGGAATAACTAGGGAAGGGACTAGTGGGTGGCACTGGAGCTGAAATTTGAAGGATAAAATTATACAACCGTCTTGGCAGACAGCATTCCGAATGGAAGGGAGCAGTCACAGGAATTCTTAGGCTGGGGCTGTAGAGATGGCTCAGTGGTTAAGAGCACTGCTGCTCTTCCAGTCGACCTGGGTTCGATTCCTATCACCCCCGTGGTGGGGCAGAACCATCTGTCACTCTAGCTCTGGAGAATCTGGTGCCCTCTTCTGGGATCCTAGGGCACATGGTACACAGACACAGAGGTACACAAAACACCCACACCCATGAAACAAATAAACACATAGTTTAGAAAAAGAATTCTGAGGGTAACGGATACTTGGAGAATTTGAGGATTGGAAGGAAAAGTGGTTGGAGCAGGATGGGGTTGCCTGAGGGCTAAAGCTGGTCTGGAGAACATTTTGAGACCTGTGAGGGTAAAGATGCTACTGGCCACACAGTGGAAAAGGCAAAGGGCTGCTGGGTGTGTGTCTCAGCAGGGAGGTCCAAGCTGGAGACGGAAATGCAGACTTGAGTGGATAGATGGGTTTCCAGGAGGAAATCGTGAGAACAGCTACGTTGTATGGGGCTGACAAGATTCAAATGGAAACAGCCAAGTGCTTAAGTGGTGCCTCACGCAGTAGGCACTCAATAGAGGCTGGCTGTCACCAGTGTCACAGTGTCTCTTATACTCACCTCTACCCCACCCCCGGCTCCTCGCCACAGCCACCCTCATGCCATCCTCCACCTCAGAAGAGTGATTTAGCTGTCCCCCTGCTCACAGCTGCAATGGCTCCTGCCGGCAGGATAGAGTTCAGACTTCACAGACCGCTCTGAAGGCCCTACTCGATGCGGTCACTGCCACCCTTGCCAGCCCCCACTTCTGCTACCCCTACCTCCCACCTCATAGGAAACCCTTTGTTCCTTGTCTTTGAACATGTGGCAGCCTCTGCCTTGACTTGCCCAACAGCAATCCCCTGTGATTCTCACAAGCCCTGTGAAGCCTCCCTTCCCCCGACCAGGCTGCCCCCTGCAGATCTTCTCCCAATGCTCCAAATCTGCTCCCAGCCTCTCCAATGTCTCGGTGGGCAGTGCTCTTCCCACCTATGTTTCTGCAACACCTAACACTCACTTTGTGTCACAGGCAAGGCTGTGCCACAACAGCCTTCACCGTTAGCGTGTCTCAGTTCACGGGGGCCAGCATGGGTAAAGGGTCTTGCTCGGGCCACAGCTGACAAACACTGCAGCCAGGAGCAGACTCCGGGCTTGTCTGATTCAGAGTCCAGGTACACACACACACACACACACACACACACACACACACACACGCACGCACGCACGCACATATGCACACTCTCACACACAACACACAACCAACGTCAAGACATTTGGGGGTAGAGTAATCTTGGTCTTTCTAATTGTTCCCTGTTTGGGAAAGGATCCAGACTGGGCGTTAAATTTTGCCCTCAGAATAGCTATTCATTGGCTTGTTTAATAATTCATTCACCCATTTATTCTCTCATTCATTCACTCCCCCATTCTTCTATTCACCCGCTCACTCACACTTAGTAACTGTCCTTACAGTTTTGCCCGGAGAATGCAGCCCTACCTCCTACCTGACTTGAAAACCCACAAAAAGAGCCCACCTGACCGGGGGATGGGGTGGCTCAGGCTGGGAGCAGGACCCAAAGGGCATACAGTTGCCCTTGGTGGGTGAAAAGTGTTCACTAAGTGGCTTTGGGAGCAGCGTATTCTCACCCGAGTATCCGTATACACCAAGACACAGCTTGAAACAGATACAGATAAGAGGCAGCCTGGGATGAAGGAAGAGTGAAGATACTGCCCAAGAAGTTTGGGGACACAGGCGGACGCCAAGGTCAAGATTAATTTGAGAGTTGGGTAGGATGCGAGCTTAAGGTTTGGGTTGAAGATAGGGTTAGATCTTGAAATACAATCCTCTCTCTTTTTTTCCTTTGAAAAATAATCCGTCTGTGTATATTTGTTGGTGTTTTACTTGTTTGTTGAGATAAGTTAGTGCTGTGTACGTGAGGCTGGCTTCAAACTCATGACAGCCCTACCACCTCAGCTTCCCAAGGGCTCAGCTTATAGAAGTGTGCCACAGCGAAGGGGCCCAGATTCATACATTCTCCCTCTCTCCCTCCTCTCCATTCCGCTCTCCCTCCCAATCCCTTCTCTCTCATTCTTCTTGTGGGTGATGGTGGTCTTTTGGGACAGTTTGTATCTCCCAAGCTGGACTCTTTCCTCTATATCCCGGGCGTTAGGCATGTGTGAGACAGGCAAGGGCTTGGCTTATAAGAAGCCAGCCCAGAACCTAAGGATTAGAGGTGGTCTGCTTAGTGCAATGAATTTGGGATGCTCCAAGGAGCAGGTTGAAAACCTGTTGACTGAGACATTTTGGCTGTGTGATCATGGGCAATCCTTTTTGACCCTTCCGGGCCTCCTGAGGCCCACCAGTTAAAGTGCTGCCAGTTTGAGGTGCTGCGGTACCCTCTCTGGCGGAGTCAACATCCTTTTCTGCTCAGAGACTTCCCCACACTCTGCTGTCCCTTGGCCACCACCAAGCACACAGTAGGTGTTCCAGGCTGGCTCGATCTCTCTTTCTGCTTCTATTTCCCCACAAAGCCGGCTGCAGGAGTAGTTCCTTCCCCCATTGGGACCACCCAGATGTGCTGACTCACCTCTCTGGAGGACCAGGCTGCGACACTTCCCAGCCCCCGCTGTCCCTGCCCATCCCGGGCTAGCGCTGCGCAGCCAGGGTCCTGCACTGCCCCCGGGCGCGGAGCCGCGCAATTACCCTAATTACAGCCTGGCCTCGGCGGCGGTGGCGAGCGCGGCCACGCCGGCCTGAGAACGCCCCCGGCCCGGGGCCGGAGCGTGGGAACCTCCGTGCCCTCCGCCTGGGGCAGCGGCGGCGGCGGCAGCGTCGGGGACCCGCCCGCTGGGGAGGCCGGGATGCGCGATAAGCCCGCCCCGCCGCTCCCGCCCGGCTAATGACTGGGCCGCTCTGGGCGCGCGCGGCCCCTTTCATCAGCAGGTCCCCAAGCGCCCCGTGCCCATTAACTCCCCAGCCCCCACACCTGGGTGGGGAGCAGCGGCGGGCCCGCCGCCCCAATTGCCAGGCGAAGCCGAGTGGCTACGCGGGCCAGGAGGTTCCGCCGTCCCACATCAGCTCAGCGCCTCGCTCACCCGCTTCTCCATTCACACGCCCACTCATTCATTTATTCACTGAACAAACGTTTTCTGCGTCCCTGCTAACCATTGTTTCCTCTTCTGTAAATGGTAATAATAACATTATCATAAGCGTTTAGGTGGTAGGGGAGGGGTGAGGGAGGCCGCTGAGAACATGCTTCGGGGTTGGCCCATTCCAACTGCACCCTGGCTCGCTTGGCACACTAATCCGAGGTGAGGTAGAATCCACTTTGCAGAGGCAAGACTGGGCCACAGAGACGTGACGGGACTGGTCAAGGTCACACAACGACAGGGGTGTCGGCTCTCACCACAGCGCCACACAGAGAGAGTGCGGGGCCTTAGATGGCGTCTCTGGCTCGCTGGCACTGGGCACTGTGCAGAGGGCTGTTCGCACGCGGTCTCATTTAATCCTTGACACAGGAAACTGAAGCTGTTTCTCAAGGTCACACAGAGTGGCAGGAAGGGCCACTGAGGCTCACTGCTCCCCGCGATGGTCATGGAGCAGCCCCGCCTCCCCGTATGGTGTTCTTGCCAGTCTCAAGACAAGAACAATGATTCACCCAGCACCTTCCCACTCCAGTGAACTAACACACACACACACACACACACACACACACACACACACACACACCAACCTCAAAATAAACAGGAAGAAAACAGGACCTAGAGGCACAGGCCTGGAATCCCAGCTACTTGGGAGGATTGAGAGAAATGAGTTCAAGGCCAGCCTGGACAACTTAGTGGGATACTGTCTGAAAAAGAAAAAGGTTGCCGGCTGGGGATGGAAGATGGGGGTGGTATAGGTGCTTGCTGAGCATGTACAAAGCCCTGGGCTTGATCTCCAGTATTGCAGAACAAACAACTCAGAGAACGGCAGTGTCCAAAGATTTGGTTCTACGGAAAGGCAGGAGACAGGGAAGCACAACCCGGATTTGAAAATGCTCCGGGCTTCAGCTACTTCTCTATAAAAGGGGTGTGGGGGTCCCTGAGCCGAATACCTTCATGTCAGCTTGACACTCACTAAAGTCACCTGAGAGGAGGGAATGTCAATTAAGACAAGGCCTCCATACCATCCAGCTGGAGGCAAGTCGGTAGAGCATTTTCTTAATTAGTGATTGAGGTGGGAGAGGCCAGGACATGATGCACAGTACCACTGCTGGGCTGGTGGTCCAAGCCACGAGGAACAAACCAATAAGCAGCACCTCTCCGTGGCCTCTGCATCAGCTCCTGCCTCCAGGTTCCTGCCCTGCTTGAGTTCCTGTCCTGACTTCCTTCAGGGATGAACAGTGATAAGGAAGTGTAAATCAAACAAGCCCTTTCCTTCCCAACTTGCTTGGTCATGGTGTTTCATCCCAGCAGTGATAACCCTGACTATGACTGTCCCCATCTTCCTCCCTTGTACTATTGCTCATTCGCTGTTACCTAGTTCATCAGTTTCATTCATTATTTCTTTAAGTTTTTAAAGATTTGTTTATTCTATTATTTTATGCATACGGGGTTTTGCCTGCATGCACAAATGTATGCCATGTGCATGCCTGACGCCCAAAGAGGCCAGCAGAGGGCATGAGGGCATCCAATCCCCTGGGACTAGAGTTACAGATGGTTGTGAGCTGCCATGTGGGTGCTGGGAATTGAACCCAGGTCTTTTGCAAGAGCAACAAGAGCTCTTAACAGAGGAGCTACTATTTATTTGTTTGTTTGTTTGTTTGTTTGTTTATTAGATGAGTGCTGTTTTCACACACACCGGGAAAGAAAATTAGATGGAATTATAGATGGTTGGGAGCCACCATGCGGTTGCCAGGAATTGAACTCAGGACCGCTGCAAGAGTAACCAGTGCTCATAACTGCTGAGCCATCTCCCCAGCCCTGAGCCACTATTTCTTACCTGTCAACTAATGAGCTCAGTGCCAGAGTCCAGATAACCAGCCATGGGGTTTACCCAGCACCTAGGGACCCCAGGAGTGCTGAAGCCAGTATTCCCAGCAGAACAGGATGACTGGTTGCCCTGCCTGTGCCGGGAGCTGGAGACTTGGGCCACATAAGAGCCTGGCCTGGACCTTCTGGGAACTGCAAAGGCTACTGCCTGCAGCAGGGTGAGCCCCGTGCTCACTCCTGGCCCTGGGAGCAGGGAGAGGCTCTAGTGATATGCTGTTCTCAGCTTTTTCCCTGGCCACATGCCCAGGCAAGTAAACCAGACAGGTGCTACCCATTGTCTGGCTGGGAAAGTCAAGGCTGCAGGTCTGGCCATGGCTTTCCACAGCTGCCGTGAGTCAGAGCCCAGGAGCAGGGTGCTGAGAACCGCTTGAAGCTGCCCAGTCCCCATAGGGGCCTGAGCAAGACACTGTGCCTGTGACAACGTCCTCCATCCTTAGGTAGAGTGAGAGCGAGTGAGAGGAGTGTGACTGGGCGAGTTTCAGGCCCCTCGAAGTGGTGGCTTCCGCTACAGGAAGCCTTTCTGGGAATTCCAGTGAAGGGGACCCCCCACCAAGCACAACAGTGCCAGCCAAGAACTTTGTCTTTGTTGGGTTCTTGGCAGTAGCCACAGGAGGACATGTCAATAAACACCTAGAAAGATCAGCCTTTGAAATTAGATCAGATGGGCCCTGAACCTAGAGGGTCACTAAGATTCCCCCACCTTTCGTTTTCCTCTCTGCAGAGTGGACACACCACTGCCGGGAAAGGGAGCGAGATTCTGCAGATGAAGGGACAAGCCAGGCGCCTAAGACACATCTACCCTCTCCTCTATCTCTACCCTTGGTGCCCCATGTGGCCTGGCCTCATCGGTGTTCCCTTCCTTCACAGGCTTTCCTCACCCTCCTCCATGTGTCTAATGAAAGCTTGTGGGGTACATATTAAGCCCTGGTCTTAAGAGCTGCCCGTTTCCCCAGGTGTGATGGATGACCCCTTGCCCAGGAAATCTAAGCAAGCCCAGCTTTTGTCTTTGGACCTGTAGCTTCCAAGCAGGGGTTACCTCATTATAAGCAGCAGCAGCCATGGAAAGAAGAGTCATCAAATGGGGGAGAGGGATTAGCCCACCTCTAGAGAGTCACCCCAAAATGTCCTGACAACTCTGTGCCCAGGCAGTGGCATTCCTTCCAAAGGAGAAGACAGAGGAGAGGGCTTCTGCCAGGGCAGAATCCCATCGGCCTCTTTCCACTGCCCCCTGCCACCCCTCTAACATTTAACACTGTGTTGGTAGCTGCCAACAAACCATCTTCCCTGGCAGGAGGCTGCTGGAGAAAAGGTGTTCTGGGGACACAGGACACAGGGTTGTAGAAATAAACTTTCCTAAGATTCCTTGAGGAAAGCCATTATTTCCTTGGGCCTAAGAAGCTTGACCACATAGCCTTGAAGTCCTCTCAAGAGTAAGAAAGTCTGAGGCATCTGGACCTTCATGTCCAGAATCTACACTCTAAAAATCTTTTTGTCCAGTAGGGCATGATGGTGCATGACTGTAATCCCAGCACTTGGAGAGGCCGAGGTAGGTAGATCTCTGTGAGTTCAAGGCCAGCCTGGTCTACAAAGCGAGTCCAAGACAACCAAGGCTACACAGAGAAACCCCGTCTCTAACAAAACAAAATAAAATCTCTCTGTCCAGTATGGTAGCCTCTGATCCCGTGTGGTGAATGAGTATTATGACAGGTGGGGAATCAAAACTGTAGTGTCTGGCGAGATGGCTCAGTGAGTAAAAAGGTGCTGCCACCAAGCCTGACAACCTGAATTCAGCCTCTGAGAGCTGCATGGTGGAAAGAGAAAGCCAAGTCTTGCAAGCTGTCCTCTGACCCCCACACATCTGAGAATGCACAAACACACAGACACACACAATTAAATAAATGTTCTTAAAAAGGGTGGTGTAAGTAATAAACAGATATCAGCCTTCAAGATTTAGTACAAAAACCCATGATAGCTTTGCATCCTGGGGCCAGAATGTGGCTGGGTAGAGCAGTGCTTTCCTCGCATGCACAAGGTCCCGGGTTTGATTGCCAGTGATAGTGATAGTGATAGTGATAATAGTTGTTGTTATTATTAATTTTTAAATTAATTAAATATTGTAATGATTTTATTTTGGATGAAAGGGGTTAAATTAAACATGCCATTGAAATCCATTTCACTCATTTCTCTTTTCCTTTTAAAATGCGGCTACCAGTAGGGCTTCATTGCTTAGTTGGTTAAAACACCTATCTAGTAAAATGTGGCCACTTGAACATTTCCAATTGTATGTATGAGTCACATTTAGATTTTTATCACACAGCTTTGATTAAAGAGCCAGGAGTCATCCTGCTGAGCCAAGACTTCTTCCCTGGTCTCCATGCACTGGGGTATGGAGCGCTTTCTCTTTTCCCAAGAAGGGGACCCCAGACCTTGGTACTTTGTGAGAGGTGCCACTTTCTTCCCCACAAAAATTCCATCCCAGTTTTCCTTATTCCCCTCAAGGTGCTATTTGCTCAGAGCATGAAAAACAGAGAGCATCTCCCATTGCTACTCTTCTTTCACTAAAATGATTAAGATGTAGCTGGGAAATTTCCTCCTGAGGGCAGTAGCTCCTAGAAGCCTCAGAACCTCGATGCCCAGAGGCACCTTGGTGGCTCCTTACTGCCCAGTCCTGCTCTCTTAGTAGTGTAAGCCAGGGGCAGGGGGACTCAAACCCCTGTCCGCCTATGGGCCCAGCCAGGACTGCTCTGGGCGGGACATCCAAGAGAGCACACT